CAATGGAATTTCCCATTGGGAACCTACTAGCACTAAGTTGCTAACCGGTTAGCAACTTAGGGCTACTTGGTCCCAATGGAATTTCCCATTGGGAACCTGCTAGCACTAAGTTGCTAACTGGTTAGCAAGATGCTTCCGACAAACCGGCCACAATCAAACTTGCTTGCAAACCTTCCGCCACAATAATCCCGCCCCCTTGATAATCGAGCAATCAACTTCACCTTATTCACTTGTGTAAAGTTGGGCACCACTCGGGAGAATTCGGAAATGAAACGTTTGGAACGGCCACGTCCCGACGACTTTAAGTCAGATTGTTGACTGAAAATGTTGGTAGTTTTCTAAAGCAGCCCTGAACTCATAATCCAAAATGGCTACCTTGATGGCTAATTAAAAAAGTTACTAATTTGCACTTCTAATACTTTCTGTCATAAAGGAGAAGGTTTTGCTCTGTCCTTAAGAGAAAAAAAATGTTGCTACTATGTTTGAATCATTTTGATACTAATCTAATTTAACCGAAATACATGCAGAAAAAATGTAAGATGGAAGCTAGTTTAGGTTCCCTACTCAAAGTTTTGAATATAATGTCATTTAAAAATATTATGAACATTTCTTTAAGTTGCGAGCAGCCATATTTAATGAACAAAGCAAAGGATAAACGTGTAGCTAGCTATTAGTGGGTATTTTATAGCTAAAATATCCATAATAGTCATGATTAAAACTTAAAACACAAATTATTTTCTGAATTTTTTTGGTCATAAAATCATTTATGGAAAGGTTTTACTCTATCTTGAAGAGATAGGATGTTTTACTACGTTTGGGTTCATGAAATATGGAGAAATACTGGCTAATAGAAAGAAATATTGGTTAATATTGTTAGCAATATTAGCCAGAATCCCAAAGATTTTCTTTTAGAAATACAGCTGGAAATAATGTCGGATGGAAGTGAGTTTGGGTTCCCTATTTATAGTTTTAAATCTAATGCAAATTAAACACATTAATAACTTTTCTCCAGATAGCAGGCAGCCATTTTTTGATAACGCGCTAACAAAGAGAAGAATAAACATGTAGCTAACTCATAGTTTTTAATTTTATAGCTAAAATATCCATAATAGTCATGGAAATATTATGATTAAAACTTAAAAAACAATTTTTTTTGGTCATAAAATCATTTATGGAAAGGTTTCACTCTATCATGAAAAGCTAAGATGTTTTACCGCATTTGAGTTCATGAAATATGGAGAAATACTGGCTAATAGAAAGAAACATTTGCTAATATTGCTAATATTTGTTAGCAATATTAGCCAGAATCCCAAAGATTTTCTTTTAGAAATACAGCTGGAAATAAAGTCAGATGAAAGTGAGTTTTGGTTCCCTATTTATAGTTTTAAATCTAATGCAAATTAAACACATTAATAACTTTTCGCCAGATAGCAGGCAGCCATTTTTTGATAACGCGCCAACAAAGAGAAGAATAAACATGTAGCTAACTGATAGTTTTTAATTTTATAGCTGAAATATTCATATTAGTGATGAAAATATAATAATTAAAACTTACAACAAAGTAGTTTTTTAAGATGAATTTTAGGGTGTTTACCGTTTGGCTAACGCCGTTAGCTTTACATCTAGTTGTAACAGTTGGAAACATGGAGTAGAAACAACAGAAGGCTTATATATTTTCTTTGGAATTTTTTTTTTTTTTTTAAATCACTGTAGGGTTATATTTTATTTATAGTCATGTGCCCATTTTCCTGAAAAAAATGCTAACGATACAGGCTGCCTATAAATGCTAACGATACAGGCTGCCTATAAATGCTAACGATACAGGCTGCCTATAAATGCTAACGATACAGGCTGCCTATAAATGCTAACGATACAGGCTGCCTATAAAGTTCAATTAAATGTAAGAAAGAAACCGCCAAAATATGTTTTTGTTTGTTTTATGCCTTTTTTTTATGTTCCATTTGCAGTTTCAGCTTTTCTACAATATCCTGAAGTACTATCTGTGTAACAACTACTGAAAAGTGTACATATGAAAATACTGTAAAACAAGTGTTTGTCTGAACAGCTGAACAAGTGTAAATGTTTTATCTGTAAAAAAAAAAAAAAAACCAAGGAACTGGAATGTGTTTTAATGAGTTTTAAGGTATTTATTGTGTGTTTTTTGATGTTTTACATTTTTGTGGACTGACCTGCAGTTTATTTGTCAGAATAACAACAAACTGAGGCCTTTGGAGCTTTGAGCTTTTTTTTTTTGTTCCACCTACAGACCAAAATAAACGGCTAAACACCTTGAAAAGCGTTATGTTTGCTGTGGGTCTGACATCACTGCTCTAAATGTTTTTGTCTGGTCATAAAACAATCTGAGATCTCACCGTATGCAGACGACTGTCTGGTCTATATTTTTCAGTTTTAGGCGTTTCGTGTTACGGCATGCTCTGCCTCTTGCTAGTATGTATACTTTATCACACATTCAGCTCAGATACCTTCAGAGAAAATGAAAGAAATGCTTGACAAATATTCTCCCTGGGGAAAAAAAGAGTGAGCTCATTGCAGATAAGCTATCGCTGTTCAAGATAAACGATTTTGCCGTGTTTACCGAAGGCCTTATCAAAAACTGCGTACAGACTTTCCCCTTTTGTCAGATAAGAGACTAAATGCAAACCTATAAAACCTGTTTTCATTTAGGTGGATTTTCCTCATGAGGGTCTTTGATTTTGTCTTTTTTTTTACTTTTAGGTACTATGAAGACCTTTATAGGCGCTGAAATAGAAAAAAGCAAAGCAGTTAAAGGGTTTCCCTCATCAAACATGTAAACTGGGTTTTATGGGGAGGATTTATCTTGTTTGTTCTTCCTCGGCCTGTGCGGAGTCCACTTTCCTGCTTGTCGAACCTGCTGATACCTTAAAGTCTAAAGTTTATGCGAAAAGACAGAAAGGTGAGATTAAAACAATGTTTATGTTGAGTAACTTACAGTTGCTTTGCAGCTGATAAGAATTTATTAAAGATACAAAAAGTGTCTACAACCCTTATTTTTATTAAAATTGATGTCACAGCTGTTTTAGGAATCCCAACAAACTTTTGATGGGTTTTGTTTCCCAATCTGCTGCAGTCATCCCATTTGTTTGTGCTCTACCACACTTTTTCCTTCCACCTAACTTTCTTTTAGAATACACTCTGTGAACAGCCGGCTTTTATTAGCAGATACCCAGTCTGGGTTACCCTCCCTTTGCTGATAATTCTCTGTACATACATTTTCTTTATTGAAAGTAATCCCCACATTTACGCAGATTACGATCTAAATCTGCTTTTATTAATCTCAGAAATGTAACTATTATTTAGTAGAAATTGTGAGTCAAGGCCGTTCATTTCTAAGCCATTTATGTGAAGTTTTTTTTCCACTTAACTTCCCATCAACATCTTTGCATACAGCCAGCTTTAGCATTGACTGTCTCTGGCGCCCCCTTCTGTTCTGGACCTGCAAGTCAACTCTGTTTGATTAATCTTGTATGACTTTTACCTTTTGAATTATTTTCCTGAAATAAATTCCCTTTTTTATTGTATTCTTGGATCTACCTGCATATTTCTTGTTACCAAACGTATTAATAACATTTCTATTTATCTATTTCTATTTATATCTGTGTGTGTGTGTGTTTATATATATATATATATATATATATATATATATATATAT